TATGTGGCCCTACTACCAGCAAACATCCTCCACCCCCACCCTGGGGCTTCAGATTCTTCCAAATTCTTTGTCAGGCATCCTACATGCAGGCCCAAACATGGAGGCTTGGGGTTCAGATGCCCTTAAGTTTTGCTGGCCCTCAGCCATGTGGCCACAACAGCAAGCTAGGAAGGCATCTCCTATTCCCATAAAGTTGGCATATAGTTAAGTTCTTCCCAGTGGAAGTGAGAAGTTAACTAGCCCTTATATCAGTCAGGGTACTACCCCCTGCCAAGAAAGTGGTTTTCCCCTACAACTAGGAAAATCACCTTAGTGGTCATGGTGCTTCCCCTGCCAGCACACCTGGATAGTGCAACCCCTCTGAATATACAAACTATGTATGATATTAATCCAAAGCCAAAAGGCTCATGACTTACGAGGCTTACTACTTAGGCTTACTATAGTTCATTGGGCTGGGCCCCACCAGAGTCAGCAGCATTCCAGGCCATGGTGATCTGACATCTCAGCACTGCTCAGTATGCTGTATACTCTAGATACCTCCTACAAAGGATCCATGTGCTAATTAGCTCCCCCACTCATGACTGGAACTGGGTGTTCTTGTCAAGAGTCCTGGGATGCTCCAAAAATTTCTATGCAGATGAGGTGCAGGGCAACCTGATCTGCCTTCACCTCATGGAGAGCAGGACCACACTAACCCATATGTGATAGGCTGAGAGAGGGACCAACAGAAGCATTCTGGGTAAACTGTTTGGAGCCCTGACATTTAAGGTTGGTGAAGAAACAAGGATCACCGGAAATGGGAAAGAAAGGCATAGGTTAGCTGTGGGAGTGAAGAGAAAGTCAAAATGATTTTAAAAATCAAGTCAGTGCTGAAGGGGGCTGCACTTATTGAGCACTACTATACATCTTGTTCAGATGGGTTTCACTAACCTATATTTGTGGTAGGTTCCAATCAGCACGTTTGCTCAACAGGAGCCATGTACTTTATAGTTGTGCTCAATGGGCGTGTCTACATGAGCCACCCACTGCACAGCTGTTACTGCAAAGTCATTTAATACTTGCATAACCAAGTACTAAATGACTGTGCAACTAGTTACTGTACAGTAGTGTCCTGGCATGGTTGCCTAGTGGCACTTATTGCACAATAGCTCATTACTACTGCACAATAAGTCTTTTTTACTGTGCAGTAGGATCACATCACATCACACAGTTTGTGCCCAGGGATGCTACTGCACAGTAGCAATGAGCTACTACACAAGATGCTTACTGTTCAGATGTGGCCAGTGTTGACTGCATTTAATTAACTTCATAGTTGGTTTCCATTATAGAGCACATGCTACTTTCAGAATCAGTTCAAAGATGGACAATGTATTTAATGAAGTTTCCTTGTATATGGATACAAGGAATGAGGAGCTTTTCCCACCATGCTGATTGGGGGCTGGGGGAATCTTGTCTGTATTTAAGGAAATATGGTAAATACAAACCATGATTGTATTCCACTGTTTTCCAGGCCCAACTTTAGTCAAGATGAAGGTGGCAAAGGACAGCCACAGCTTCTTCATTCATATCACAGACCCCAAGAAAACCCAGACAGAAAGGGAAGCACAGGAAATGAGTAATCCTTTGGGAGGACAGCAAAATGAGCCAGGTCAGTGGGTCACCAGGACTGCTGTGAAGAATTATGAGTCAGAGGTATTCCAGTAACAGGGGCAAGCCATAACAAGGGTCAGGTTATGAAAGAAATTATTTCAATTCTTACCTAGCACACAAGGCAACATACGGTAATAGGCTCTGTGTAAAAAACTTGTGGTTGCTCATATATAAATATCATTATTTTTGACAGAATTTCTATATTTTGGGATAGAAGATAGACCCAAAGAATTATGGAACCACTCTATATTGGGTTCAAGAAGTCTCTTCACCTGTTGTCAATTATCATGTCTTTTATCTAGCCCAGCCCCTTACAAGCAATGATGCATATACTAGTCATTAGGCTGCATTTTAATTGGGTTTTAAATATATATTTTTCTTTTTAACCTCAAACCTTTTCTGTATTTTTTAAGGAAAATCAGTAAATGAAAAGAAAACTGTGAGCAGGTTTGGATCTTTTTCAGCCACCTTGGAAAATGGAATCCAGCTGTCCTTGAGCTACTATGGACCTACAGGAAAGGCAGCAGGTAAAGCAAGCAAACAGAAGAGATATTTGAGGCCCATAATGGGAATTCTTCTTTCTTTCACATGCCTATTAACTCAACAGTGTGCTGCATCCAGCCCTGACTCTCAACAGCTGTCACTACATGGTTTGGAAATTTTCAACAGGAGTTGAACTGAGTTTACTTTATCAAATGTATTTTATTAATCATATTTCAAAATGGGGAGAGGTTACTGTGCCTTTTATAGTTGCTGTGAAAACAGCCCAGTACAGTAAGAAAGTCACCAGCATTGTCATTAACTAGTCCATCAAAACCAGCCAATTAGTATGAGCAAAAGAAAATGTGATTTTGAGGCATTTGAGGTTTTCTGATTAATAATTTTTAAATTTAGATAGGTGATTATGGTAATTCTTGTTTTTTCAGGACATTGGTCTTTAGATTACAGCTGTGCAGACATAATGAGGGATTTCTCTCAGTCTTCCAATAAACACTCATCAACTAGAAGCAATTGCTTCACAAAACCACAGAGAATATAATGTGTGTTTTGACGAAGATCTAACCAAAGCTCTTTGCTTTATTACATTTCAGAAGCCACTGAACACATCATACACATAAAAGTGAAACTCTCCTCTGATCAGAAAATAATCCCAGAGTTTTTCATCCCTTAAAATAAGCTTGCAATTGAATGCTTCTTTGTGTGGCTTATGGCAAAATATTTGGCTTACTTAACATCCAGTTTTAATTATTCAGAGATATTTTTAACATAAATGACTAAAAAAGGATGTCTTGTCTTGTGCCAGAATAGCATCCATACTTTGGCGGACTGTAAGGACATGACACTATATGAAAGAGAAATGTTTTATTAAACCTTTACATGCCAGTTCTGATACAGTCTGTGTCAGAGAACTTATGTAAGTTCCTTACTCTAGCTTGAGTATAGCCTTCATATTGGGTGCATCTACACAAGATGCTTTAAAGCGCATAAGACTAATCTAATGCTCATTAAAACATTACCAAAAAACCAAGCACTGGGCTTCTGCATGTGAAGAAAACCTCCAGACTGTGATGGATCTCTTCACAGTAGTCTACCAAACTTTTGGCCTCTCTCTCAACCCTGAGAAAACTAAAGTGCTCTGTCAGCCTGCTCCAGGCCATGAATTTAACCCCTCTCCTTAAATTACCATTGAGGGAAAGACCCTGGAGGTAATTGAGCATTTCCCTTACCTTGGTACCCACCTCTTAGAGACTGAATATTGATAAGGAGATCCAGCATAGGATGTGGTGCACAAGTGCCTCCTTTGGGAAATTGTTTTGGCATATTTTTTTATTGATTATGATTTCCAGAAGGACACCAAGATCAAGATCTACAATGCAGTTATCACCCCCACTCTTCTGAACGGCTATCGAGTGTGGGTGATGCCTGCCGTTGTCATCTCAGAACCTGGAGATGCCTCCAGAAGATCCTGTGCATCAAAATAGGAGGGTTGGTTTACAAATGCCAGCATCTTTGCTGAAGCCAGTACTACCAATATTGAGTCAGTGATTCTGAAACGTCTACTTCACTGGACTGGACTTTATGTACAGACGCCAGACTCTCAACTTTCAAAACAAATGCTCTAGTCCCTGTTTAGTCATAGCCTGAGATCTCACAGCACCCAAAGGAAATGCTACAAGGATTCATTGAAGGCATAGCTCAAGAAAACAGACACCAACATCAAGATCTGGAGGAGCTGGCTGCTAAATGACTCCAGTGGTGCCACAACCTCAACCAAGTGCCAGCCCATTTCAAGGTAAAGTGCCTTGCCCTCAAAGCAGAGAAGACAGGGTGGAGGAAGGTAAAAGGAGAGAAATCCTGTCCTACAATTTATTTTACCCTTTGGAAAGAACTGAAACTTTTTTAGATGACTCCATGGCTCAAAGATTGGACTCTTAAGTCACCTAAAGACTCATGAATGGACCTGGTAAAAAAAATCACTCAAATCATGGAATGACAAATGATGAGATTAACTTATTAGTTTGGGTTTTCATCTGTTGTCTGTTTGGATGAATTGGAATGTAACATGGTGATTGTGGGATAGGGATGGAGGAAAAGGCATAGCCAGAGCATCAGTGAAGATGACCAGTCCAATATGGTTGAAACAGCCCTTTTGGCTGAGGAAAGACTCAGGGAATTGGACCTGTTCAGCCTGAGTAAGAGAAGACCTGATGGCCACCTATAAGTGCATCAGGGGAGAACACAAAGATCTGGGGGAACAACTCTTCAGGAGGGCACCTCAAGGGAGGACAAGGACAAACAGACATAAGCTTATAGAAGGCAAATTCAGGCTAAACATAAGGAAGGACTTTTTGTCTGTAAGGGTCACTAGAATCCGGAACACTCCCACCAGAGGTGGTGCAGTCACCATCATTGGAGGTGTTCAAGAAGAGGCTGGGCAGGCACCTTGCTAAGCTTGTCTAAGCCCAATAACTTCCTGTCCAAAGCAGATGACTGGACTCAATGATCCTATGGAGACCTTCCAGTTCTACAGTTCTATGATTTTATTATTCTATGAAATTATCTGATTATCTATTTATAAGGGCACATACCATCTTCCTGAGCATCCAAAAGCTCTCAGATGCTGCTTGGCAACTGGATTTTAATATCTGTGCCTCAATGTCCTCCTTGATAAGAATATGGGTATGAAGGGTCTTTATGCAATCCATTCCCTGACAGCTGCTAAGAGGTTAGAGGAGAGAATAGATATCTCCCAATCTCCCCAGCTACAGCTGATTTGAGAACCAAAAATAGTTTGGGATAAAAGATTGCACAGCAGGCAGGGTGGTGTGGGTGTTGCTCTGGGAGAGACTCTTTAGCGGTGAATTGGCAGGGAGCCCCCTAAAGAGTAAGGCCACAAGCCTCCCAAAGGTTGAGAGAGAGGGAATGTAGTTTCTGGAAATCACTGGGACTTGGTTTAGACCATTATGTAACACAATCCTGTCCATAGATGATTCCTTGTTTTTTTTAATTTGCCATTCAAGGTTGTTCTTAAAGTTTTATTGTCAAAAATGGGTATTCTGAGGTCAGTGGTGGAATAAAGTGTTCTGCTGCAGGTTTTTGTGTCTTTCTGAAATTGATGTCATATTGATGTTCGTTCACTCTTACGTGTAGGGATCACTGTCTGCCCAATGTAGACAGAGGCACTGTAAGCAAATGGTAGCATATGACATTGGTGCAGGAGCAGGTGAATAAAAGCCCAGATGTTATAAGCCATTTTTATTTGGTCCAGTAATGATGTGGTCTGTGTTGATGAGGAGGTACAGCTGGCATCTAGATCTGGAGCAAGGTCTCGTCCCTTTGTGAAAATAGGCTGTGCCTATCTCCGTTCAGTGATCCACTCCCACGCTGCCTTGGTGCATACGTCTGGTCTTGGACGCCAAGTAGCTTAGTGTAAGCCCCGGGGAGGTCCTCTGCCACTTCCGGACAGACCCTCAAACTCACCTGCCATGACTTCGGATAGATCTTCAGTGGAGGGGGCTCCCATTGAGGATACCTCCAGAGTAGTGACGTCCCTTGGTGGATGTACATGGGGCTCCCCCTCCTCTACACTCTTTCTGTACACTAACCCTCAAGATGAGCCTCAAGATCTTTGTATAGCTTGCCCTCTGATGATGTCTGCCTCAGATCCCCACGCTCTCTTCTCTTTGAATCATCTTCCTAGGCTCCGACTGGACCCGGAGGGGGGCTCTGGATGTTATGCTTCGAAGGCGTCCCTTCTAATACCCTGATGGTCCTAATGGACACCACCATTCACCACCACATCTCACACTGTCTGTTTCCTGGTAGGAACCTCTGGCACAAGACCCAGCAAAAGAACGATGAGCGAGCCTACACTAAGTAGGGAAAAGAAATAGAACAAAGAAAAAAGACAAGGAAGCTGGACTAGCACATTCGGAACACATACAAGGGAAATCCAAAAACAAGGAAGGAGGGGGGTCTGAAGAGAAAAGAAAAAGAAAAGAGAAGGGGAAACCGTTGGGCCCAGCAGCCCTCCTTTCCCCTTAAACCAAGAGCCCTAGATGAGCATGTCTCCCAGACTTGGCTCCACGCTTCTAGCCCACTTGCCTCCACGTCAGCTTGTCCGATTCCCGCCGGTGCTGGGTGCACCCAGTGTGGGGAACTCCTGCAGTCTCTTCAGCTCCCAGCATTCCTGCTCTCCCATCCTCTGAGCCAACTTTTGGTCTTCACCAGGTGGCATCTCCTGCTGGAGTCACCTGGCCCCAGCTGTAGATAAACACAGCTGATAAACTGCATAGTCGTCTCTTCCTGGCACACTTCCTCATCCCTCCAGCATCCTAGAAGGGTTTCTCTCTTTTATGTGTCCTAGGTTTCCCTGCAGGCAGGGTTCCTCATTCTCCCATTCTTGTGGCCCTGGGACACAGGCATTAGGTAGTCTGCTGCTGGAGAGATGTTGTTTGAGGTTGAGGGGTTGCCTGTAAGCTGAGGGAGGTTTTTCTCCCGTGGCTATCTTGAGATGCTGTCATTTTCCAGGAGTGGTTGGAGGTCATTACTGTTGCATCTAAAATTTTCAAGCTGGGGGCTGTAGGTAACAACCAAAGACACCCTGTTGTCTTTGTTCTGGAATTGGTATTGTAGTAGGCTGGAGCAGGTTCAGAGGCTGGCTCCATTGATTAGAGCAACTACTGCTTTAGAGTTGTATTGTAAGTGTAGGAATCCCTGCTCCAGATACTTAAAGGTGTGTCCCAGTCAGTGGGATTGGAGCAGATATTGTTGTAATGTGGAGCTGTGCTGCAGATAATGGATTTAATGGTGTGCTTAGGGTGAAAGGTGCTGACCTGTAAGTGGCTATAGTGGTTGGTTGGTTTCTGATACAGTATGGTAGTGATATGGCCATTACAAGTTTGGAATCTTTTGCTTCCTTCATCATCTTTAAGTAGGGAACAGAATACTGAGCTTGTTAAGTCATGAAATGGGATTCAGAACTAGGGTATAAAGGATTGACATGACAACTCATTCAATCAGTGACAAAAATAGTTTTTTTATTACAAATATTCACTGTTAAATGAGTCTAAAGTAAAGCAAAGTCCAGTATATTTGTTAGGGTGACTGTATTTGGATCTTGGGGAACATTGAATTTCAAGCTGAATAGAAGGCTATTCAGCTATGCTTATAACCTGTGGCCTAACCACAAGGCAGAATGGTATGTTAAAAGTAACCTTGCAAGGTGCTTAGGCAAGCATTTTCCTACCAATATAGTAGTTTTGTAAGATATATAGCTCATTCTGTAAGAAGAATAGGATGCAACTACTGACTATCATTAGGAGATAAAGCAGAAGCAAGACCTTAGAGATGGTGAAGAAATCAGCAAGAAACCGCAAATGACCGAAAAAAGCCGGGGTCAGGGTTTTAGGCATGCGCTCATAGCAAAATGACATGCAAATAAGTGAAATGCATAGGTAATTCCATGCTAATGAAGTAAACAGTAAATGGAGGCGGAGCTTAAAATAGGATGGAATATGTGTGGAACAAAGGAGAGAAAGGTGGAGTAAATGTTAATGAGCATGAACTAAGACATATAAATATGGAAAAAACTAATGTTTGGCACAGCTCCCCGGTTTGTTGGAGCTAGTGTGAAGCTGTTTCCATTTTGAATAAAGCTGTTGATGAGCAATGTGTGTAGGTGATGCGTGATGGCATCGATCTGTTGTCTCCCTAGTCAGTGGGTGTCACATGGAGTCGAGGTCTAACAATATTTAGCTGTAAAAGTGATAGTATCTCACCAATACAGGCAAAGAGGCGGTCTCAGTCTTGTCAGCTTCTCAAGGCATGGATCCATTTACTAGAAGATCAGCTGAACACAGTAGCAGTTCTTGCCAGAATGATTTCTCATTCTTGAAGCACACCCTGTTAGCTGTTTCATTCCTCTTTTATACCCTTTAGCTCAGCATTTTCAAAGCATTTTTGTAGCTGAGTAAAAGAAAAATCCAGGCAACAACAAGAAGGTCTTATTTTCAACTGTTCAGTATTTGTTAGCAGAAAGGTCAAATTTTGACTGAACTACAGGAGGTTATCAATCTCTAATAAGCTGAAACATTAGGAAATGGATTAATGACCAGGAGAAACAAAGCATTTCTGAACAGTTGTCCTTGGAAGATTAAGGGAACCACGGAGGCAAAACAAGAGTAAATTAGGAGGAGTCACCTATCAAAGTCCATATAGAAAAATCTCTTCCTACATGTAAACATGATTTATTGAAAAGAAATATTTACTATCCTAATTAATAAAGAATAGCTATTTCACACAGTTATATACCAGACACATAGGAGTCTGCTTAAAATCATCATAAATATAGTAAAATAAGCCAGAACTCATCCCTCATTTCTTTTCAGAAGATCTAGCCTCAAACTTACATCCTCTTGCACTATACAACTGTCATCAATATTTTGTATTTTAACTTTTGTGAGTAGGCCCAGCTCAGCACTTGAGTTTTAGTCATCATGCTGAACAGAGCATTAAGGGCATTTCAGACTATATTGATTCAGTCCTATTCCCATATGCCACAGGAGCTTCCAGCTACTTGAAAGCTGAGTAAGAGCAGCCTGGGCTCCCAGCTGGCAGCAGCTACCCAGAGCTGGGGCCGGCTGCAGCCAGGAGGCTCCAAACAGCTGTGCTGGGCTCCGCAACTCCAGCATCAGCTCCATGCTGGCGGCAACTGTGTGTGCACCTAGGAGCAGACAGCGGGGCAATGTAGCCTGCCCCAAGGTGCCCATGCAGTTGCCACCAGCATGGAGCTGATGCTGGAGCTGTGGAGCCCAGCGCAGCTGTTTGGAGCCTGCCCACTGCTCACTGCAGCTGCCCAGAGCCGAGGCTGGCTGCAAACAGCTGCACTAGGCTCTGGAACCCTGCTATCACCTCTGTGCTGGGAGCAGGGGAGAGACCGGGGCTGCACTGCCTCAGGCCCCTCCCCCATCACCTGTTCCAACACAAGGGTGCACACGCTGATACAGAGCTGTGCCGGAGCCTGGAACAGCTGTTTGGAGCCTCCTGGCTGAAGCCGGCCCTGGCTCTGGGTAGCTGCTGCCAGCCAGGAGTCTGGGCTGCTCCTGGGCAGCTGGGATGCTGCAAGCGTTGCTGGGAGCTGCCCGGGCTCCTGGCTGGCAGCAGCTACCCAGAGGCAGGGCTGGCCGTGGCATGCCGAGCAAAATGGCTTTGTGTGCCATGCTCATCCCATTACCTGGATTAGTTTTTATAATTTGTGTCCCTCAGTGGGTTAACAGTTTTGTTTCTCTCTTGTCCACTTTGTCTCTCCTTTTTCCTCCCCCTTCCCTACCTTTTGTATTCCACCTATGTATTCCAATTACTGGTTTCTATTTTGAAGCTCTGCTTCTGGCAGCCCCATAGCATCTGATAAAGTAAGCTGCTGCATATAAAAGCTTATGCATCTATGATTTAGTTATGAAAGCACATCTACCTTGCTTTCTGGGTGTTTTTCATTCATGACAGACTTCTTGAAAGAACTGAGGTTCTGTGGAACACAAGAGCCTCAGCCTTGCTTATGTCTAGGACAGTAGTTCATCCGCAGAAGAGACTTACGTATTTGTTCATGCATTTAACCCTGTTAAATTAAGGCCTCTGGTTTTGTCACTGAAAAGAAGTAACTTGAAGAATGAAGGCTTGTCAGGAACAAAACATGTTTATTTACATGTACACAACTTTTGTCTACTGCAGAGCTGTCCATCTCATGGCCCATGAACTACATGAGGCCCATGAGGGGTTAACTTGTGGCTCCCAGACTCCCACCTATTTACTCTTCACCCACTGGCACACTGAATGTTGCCAGCTACAACATACTAAACCAGGGTCTCCGGGCTTCCTCTCCCTCCTCCAGCATTTACTTTCTGCCCCTGCCTCAGTACAGGCCATAGCTTGGGGAGCTGAGAGGGAAGTTAGGGTGCCCACCGGGCATATGATCTACAGCCATTTAAAAGTTGGGCATCCCTGGCCTATTGCATAATAAATATTACTTCCCCTCCAGATGACACAGACCCTGACTTGGCAACAATTTTGAATATCCCTTCTGTACATATTCCGACTGTTGCTCCCACTCTTGCTCCTGTTACTGCTTCAACTTCTTCAGGAAAAAGCAACAAATCACTCAAGCAAAAATCAGCAAAATCCATGCCATCTGCCAAAATGAGCCATGTCAAAGTGGTCTCTCCATCACCAGAAGATCTTTCAAAGCAGGAAGAAAAAATGGTAAGAGAATATTCACCAGTAAGTAGTACAATGAATTTGTAATATAGCCATAAATCACAAATAAGAGTTAACTGAAGGAATAACTCACCAAAAGAGACAGAAATAGTTGGCATAGTCTTCCTTCAGTGCCATTGTTTAATCAAATAAATAGTGGATCAGAGTGGCCCAACCCAGCCTAGTCATTGACTAAGACTACAGGGAGAGAAAAACATTTTTATCATGCCTGCAACTTTCTCTGCCTTGATCATTTATTAGATCTGATTAAAAATAATGGGGAAGCATTTTATAAATTATGTTTTTTCCCCATTTTTCAGAACAAAATGTGTCTGGAGTCTAAGCTTATGTTACATTCAACTCCATTGAATGGCTAGAATCTTAGAAAATAAACCAGAGACACCCAATCCTGGTCGCAATATAAGTCCCTTGTCTTGGATTTCATCAGCTTCCCCCACACATAGCCTCTATGACTTACATGACTTAATGGAATTAGAAAAAGCAAGTTATCACAAGACTTTCAGACTTAATTTGTTGAAAATATAATAAAATAAAGTTAGGGTGTAATGATCTAGCATCAGGACCTGCCTACCTGTTTTGATTTCAATATTACTACCACTACACTTAGCACTAGTCAGGCCTTAGCTGAACTCATATGTCCAGTTTCAGGCACTGCATTTTAAGAAGGATCTTAAAAGACATACAAAATTGCTAGCTTGTGTAGTAGAAGCAGTTTAATCATGGTGGAGTGGAGTTCCATACAGACTAGTTTATCCTGCTTCTCACTACTTTCTCTGGCTATTCCAATTCTGGCATCCAAACTAGCTTACTAGCTTAGCAACAGTGGGCAACTCTTTTCAGATCACAGGCTGGAATGACCCAGCTTAGATCAGAAGCAGGTGGGTGCTGGAATCCATCTATCACTGCTGCTTCTCCTCACTGCAATCTGGGGAAATATCTTGCCACCACTATTTCTCCCTGGCCACATTTACATGACACACTGACTACACAGTAGTTCATTGCCACTGCCCAGTAGCATCACATGACACAAAGCATGACAACACTACTGTGCAGTAGTAACGAGTTACTGCACAACCACTTTCACCAAAAAGCCATGTGATGTTGCTACTGCATAGCAACTCTGATTACTTCAGATTTGTTTAGTACTTGTGTATGCAAGTCCTAAATGACTGCTCAGTAACAACTGCATGGTCAGCATCTCATCTTGATGCAGCCACAAAATGTCAGTCTACACATGTGAAGGTATTAGGGCACAATAAACTAATTAACTCCACTGTCCCCAGCAGTACTATCCTATGATGGAGTAAATAGGTGCACTTAAATGCATGTGTAGATGCTGACCACAGGCACAAGTTGTGCCAGGTCAGCACAGCCAGCCGGGGGGGGGCCTCTGGTTTCTGCCAGCCCTTCTGCCACCTGACAGCACCACCCAGAATCCAAGGCTGACCTCCTGTCCCCTTTGCCAGCCCAGGGCTGCTCTGCCCAACTTCATATTGCTGCTGTCTCAGGCGTATGTGTAGATGCTGTGCCTGGATATATTTAACTGTGGCTTATAGTACTCCAGAGTTGATTGCTTTGCCCTAATTGCGCTTATAGTTGTACCCACTGTTATTGAATCAAGTTAGAGCTACCCCCAGTCTATACATGGGTCTGAAGTAGCATAACATCTAACACAATGTGCAAATTAGTGAAATAACTCAACAGAAAAGAGTAGTTAGCAAGGACTTTTCTTTAAAGATCAGTGTAACAATCATTTATAATTTAACAAGAAAATAAACAAAGGACATCTACAGCTGCAATATATATGGCTGTCTATACAAAGGAGGAGGGGCTGGGGTGACTCAAGCACTCAGATTGACAGTCCAGAAGTCATAAATTCAAGGCATAGCAGAAGTGCTTACAGAGCAGCCCTGTCCAATGAATCTGTACACTCAGTTAAATACCTTATCACATAAGGACACAAAAAGGACAGACAGCAGGGGATATTAAACATGAATAAAGTAAGTGACAAAATCAGGGTAATAGTTCTACCGATGCACTTAACAAAAATCAACATTTTTAAAACGTTTCATAAAATTAATCTATACTCTATTCTCTAGGTGGAAACAGAAGAGCCAGCTTCCCACACACAAGCAACACCAGATATGCCTACTTTCCAGAGTCTGAATGTCTCGTGCCCCAATGGGCTGGTCTTGACCTTCCTCAGTCAGAATTCCAGAGGTTAGTTTTGTGGAGCACAAAGGGATTAAGTATGTTTTGCATAAAAGAAATCATAAGGGAATCATAAAAAAAAAAAAAAGACAGATTACTTCTGTTTAGACAATTTTAGAAATGACTGGAGGAAAGTTATGCTATCCAATACAGCAAACCATTCCCTAAATATTGCTACAGAAAACATTATGAATTGCTTGACAAACAGGATGCAAACAAAGAGCTATAGCAAAAGGGATTCTCCTTGGAAGCAATGACCCCAAAAAGGACTAGGAGGTCTTGTTGGACAATTGACTGAACATGAGCCCAGGCATGACAACATGGTCAAAATGGCTAATGCGATCCTTGTACACACAGACAGGGGAATCTCTGATGTAGCTTTTGCTGGAATGTTGGGCACCTGTACAGTGTCACATGTATTAGTGCCCCTGGGCTACTAAATGGGGCTGGGGGCACTTTAACTACAGCTCATTTGATAAATCATGACTTAAAAAAAAACCCAACCAAGCCAAAGCCCAATTTCAATAATTGATTTATATCAACTTTCTCATAGCATACATTTTTTGAGTTTTAAGGAGAGATTTCATTGGTTAATATAACAATTAAAGTGTTGGCTACAAAGGACCAACTCACCATAAAAATTCTAGTTTATTAGATGGATGCAAAACTCAGATCATAAACCTTAGGGCTGATCCCCTCAAACACACACACACACACACACACACACACTAGCTAGTTATAAACACTAGGCACCAGTGTCAAGATATACCTATCCCTAAGTGCTGGAGTCCACCATCGAAGCCAGTCAAGGCTTCTTTCAGTGCAATGTTGCTTCAGAAGGGGGTTGCCAGCTGGTCCTTCTGGCTGGGCAGGCAGGGTGCTGGTCAGGTCAAAGAGGGTGCCATCGGGGGTCATTCTTTGCTGCCTTTTATCCCTCTCTGGTAGACTTTGGTGACTCCCCAGTTTTCAGGCATACCCAATCTAGTGGTCGTTTACCTCATGGGCCGTCCCCCTTGGTGGTTGCTGGATGGCAGCTGTCAGCCCCAGGGGTCAGGTCCACAGGTACATGCAGTCTCAGGACTCCGTTGATGAAGTTTGATTAATTCACTGCTGTGATTAGTTCAAACCAGGGCTTCTGTACCTTTAACAGTGAAGTTTCAAGTTCCTGGTTCTGTATTGATCCTTTCCTCTCCTTAGTCCGTGGTTTCATAGGTGTTAATAGCTGCTCATTAACACAGATTTCACACAGTTATTAGGTCTGGAAGGGACCTTGGAAGATCATTGAGTCCAGCCCCCCAACCCAGGGTCAGGAAGTCAGCTGGGGGTCACAGGATCCCAGCAAGATAAACAACCAATTTTTTTCTTGAAGGCATTCAAAGTAGGTGCTTGAACCACCTCCGATGGCAGGCTATTCCAGACCTTGGGGGCTCGGACAGTAAAGAAATCCTTCCTTATATCCAGCCTGAAATGGTCTTGCAGGAGTTTATAACAGTTCAACCTTGTCATCCTTTGGGAGTCTCTGGTGAACATCCCTGATAAACTTATAGGTGGCCATCAGATCACCCCTGAGCCTGAGCCACAATAATTAACTTGTTATCCTGTCCAACTACTGTGTTACACAATACATCAAGAGTCATTCAGGGACCTGCTCTATACAGAGAAGCCGTGGTTAGATTCCCACCCTTGCTAACATTGTTACATGGTATAACTTACTTTTAAACATGAAGTACATTTGTTACAAAATTAAAAAGCATAGAATATAAAACATAAATGGGTGAAATGTCATGGCACATACAACAGATAGACCAAATACGATGGTGAGGTTGGGGACATACTGATGCAGAATAGTATTTTATACCCATAAAAGCATCTACAACTATATTTTTATTACAAGTATACCTTATATTCTATAAAAATAATAATAATAATAATAATAATAATAATAAAAGAAGAAGAGAGAGGAAGGAAGAGAAGGTAGAAAAGAGAAAGCATCCTCAAAGAGGGCAAATACTGCAAAAGGAGCTTTATGCCATATAGAGGGGCTTCACATTGGAGGGTGAGGCAGGCAAAAAAAAAAAAAGGGTTTCTTGCTACAAAAGCACTTTGATTTACAAAGGTTTTTACGGTAGATTTGGTATATACATTTCCTAAATACACAAACTATTTATATCTACATATATTAGGGCTGTGCAAAGCTTCAGTTGCTTATTTGATTTGAAGGAGATTCAGCCCGGATCAGCGGCCGAATCTCCAAATCCAAATCAAATCAGGAGACCCATTAATTTCTCCTAATTGAATTGGAAGCTCTCTCGATTTGGAGAGATTCAACAATTCAGCCATAGACACAGCTTTATATGTTTTTTCTACGTAACTCGAGGTACTGGCACGACTTGTGAACACTGAGATGATGGGGCAGATGGAGCATCCCACTTAGCACTCAGGCTGTCTCCAGAACCTGTCTGCCCACGCTGGGAGACATCCTCAAAGTAGGAGCCAGCTCCCG